TGGGTCTGGGCCGGGGCGGGGAGTGGTGCCCTTTGTGGGCCTGAATGGAGCTGTGACCCACCGGCGTCACTTTCCAGCTCGGGACGCAGACGCAGCCAAGTTTGGAGTCCATGTCACAATCCTTCTCTTTGTTTGGCCCGCGGTGGTCAGGGACATGGCACGCTGCCTGAGTGCCTGGCGCAAAGGGTATTTCAATGGGCGGAAGACTCCCCGCGGCAGGGTGGGGAGTGGCAGATGGGGGTGGAAGCGGGCCTGTGGGCTGAAATCCCTGAGGCGCCTACAGGCAATTCTAACTTGATCATTTCACGCTACAAATTGGAGCACCTGCTGTGTGCCGGGCACTACACTAAGTGTGTGTGTGTGTGTGTGTGTGTGTGTGTGTGTGTGTGTGTGTGTGTGTGTGTGTGTGTTGGGGGGGGTAGAGAGTAGGGGCGAGAAAGAGGAGAGAGACAAGTGTTGAGACCTTGTTTCTGCGCTCCTGGAGCTTACAATCTAGCGAACAATCATACGAACTTGTCAATTATATCTCAATAAAGCTGGATATATGTCAAATAGATATGTATTTGCCAACTGTAGTAAAACTATGAAAGAAGCGTACAGTGTTCTGCGAGAGAGAAAAGCCAGGGAAGCAAGTTTAGATTTAAGGGACCACGTCCCAGTGATGTCAGGATAAGTGGGACTTAATCAGATTACCGGTGGGGGAGGGGCAGAGATGCAAAGTCCTGAGGCTGGAGTGGGCTTTTCTCCTAGAAGGGACTGAAAAATTCAAGGAGAGTGGTACAGATAAAGTTGGAAGAATGGCAGCCTTTGTAGGCCAAAGGTGAAGAGATTAGATTTTATCTAAAGAGTAATGGGAAGTTATTGAAGTACTAGAGGCCCGGTGTATGAAATTCCTGCACAGGTAGGGTCCCTCCGCCTGGCCAGCGATCGCACATCATTAGCAACTGGTCGTTCTGCCTTTTGGTCGATTTGCATATTAGGCTTTTATTATATAGGACTAGA